CTGAACCTCCTGAGGGCACCTGGTATTTCTGGCCACTGTGTGTGACAAAGAGTGTTGGACTGGAGGGGCCTTTGGCCTGATCCAACATCGGCTTCTCTTGTGTTCTTAAGGGTTGCCTCAGTGCTTAGTTCTCATGGGCCCTTCTTACACGCCCAGGGAAATGCCGATCGCCACTTTGGGGTCAGGCAGCCATTGTTCTCCAGGCCAGTTTGGCCAGAGCTCCTAGAGGTTTTTCGTCATCTTCTGGGCGTGGAACAGGTCACTGCGGGTTTGGAGGGGGAAGTATTTGTGAAATTCCTGCATTGTGCAGGGGGTTGGACTAGATGACCCTGGAGGTACCTTCCAGCTCTATCATTCTATGATTGGTGGTCGGTCACTGGAAGGCCTGCCGCTCCAGCCTGGGCTTCATTGCAGGGCGGTCCCTACTGCTGGATCCATGATGATCTCTTTGCACCCTTGCCTCTCTTTGCAGATCTGCTCTGCGAGCTCCCAGACGCTGAGGGGCATTCCTCTCCGTCGAACCACCCTGAGAGAATCTGCAGCTTTCTGCTGAGGCCGCCCTCCGAGTGTCGGCACGGACCAGATCCAGCCAGAACGAAGAGCCCCGCGGCCGCGGGTGCCCGCGGGAGCCTCCCGGGCCCCCGATGCCTCTGCTGTTAGTGCAGCTCAGTTCTGCTGCCTTGTGGGTCGGTCCTGTCCCTGCCCTCAACTCTCCGCAGCACGTCCTGTCCAGCCATTTGGCTTCCTTGCGGCACCGCACATGATGTGCCGTGTCAAAAATAACATAGCCAGTTGTGGCTCACCAGGGACTATCCAGAAGTCACAGGAGATGGGGCAGTGTGGTGAGGAAACAGGGTTGATAGGAAGTAATTCACGGGCTGCTCATGAGAGGTGATGCGGAGCTTGTTTAACGTGTCATCCTGAGCGGAGTTGCGTATTTCCCGGCCCATTGACTTCAGTGGACTTAGAAGGATTTAACTCTGCTTAGAATTGCACTGCTAACGCCTCCTCCTTTCGTTCCCCGCTTCCTTACGGTAGCCTGCCTGAATGTAACGCCCCGTCCTGTTTTTGGTTTGACCCCCTGGATGCTGTTCATTTGGCTCCAGGAGCACCGACGGACGCTGGCCACACAGAGCCTGTGAGATATCCACCTTAGAGCATCTTTGCCTGGGCATGTCGCACTTCTCTATCCAGCCAGGGTGGTGCAGAGCAACGGTTGCATAGTGAGTGTGTGAGTGAATGGGAAGAGGAGGAACTAATAAACTGAGTCGTTTGCTAAGGTTTGTGTTTTGGCTTCTGCATCAGTGTGTTCTGCAATGCCTATAAAGCTGGACTGTGTGTCTGGACCCTAAACGATTTGATTTTTTTTTGGCCAGATTAATTCAAATGCTGCTTCAAGACAAGGCACCTTTTGAATATCTGTTTGCTACTTTGGTTGGCCTGATTTCCTCTTTCCAAAAGAAAGGGTGTATCTAGGGCCTTCGACGCTCACTACCGGTCCCCGGGAGATCCTGTTTCTCACCTTCTGTCTTGGGATCTACTTAGACCCATATCCTTTTAAGCCTGAGTCCTAGAGCTTGGATTGAGAGCGATTGTGGGGACTGCCCCAGAGCTACAGGACTAGGATGGTGTGTGTGTGGGGGTGCTGGCCGTAATCCCACAAGTAACACCACTGATTTGGGGGAAGGCCTCGTTTCAAATCTGAACGGCCGTAGGCGAGTCACTCCCATCTCTAAAATGGAAACGGTGCCGCGTCTCATGGGAAGCTGCCACAAACTATTTCCAGATCTTTTACTTTTAAATTGTTTTTTCCTGTCTATCTCTGTATCATATGCTGCATTATAATCTCCTGCAATACAAATTTCATCAAATCTTAAAGTTGCTAATATTTCTTTGGAGGTCTTGGTAAAAACTATCCTGATTTTCATTAGATGCATAAATATTGACGATTAGAGTCTTCTTGTTTTGCCTTGTAATCATAATCGTCACAATTCTTCCATCTTTGGATGTATATACTAGTTCTGGACAAAGGTAATCTTTGACAGCAACTTAAAGCGTGCCGCAAATTCAGAGTGTGCTGAGTTTTTTTTCTTTTAAAAAAAGCCCCAAACAAGGATCAATGCTAGGAAGACTGCTATTAGAAACCTTACTGTTTGTCAGCTGTTGTAGATTTTCCGGGCTGTCTGGCCGTGGTCTTGGCATTGTAGGACCTGACGCTTTGCCAGTAGCTGTGACTGGCATCCTCAGAGGTATAAGAAGAAGAAGAGATTGGATTCATACCCCGCCCTTCACTACCCAAAGGTGTCTCAGAGCGGCTTACAAACTTCTTTCCCTTCCCCTCCCCACAACAGACACCTTGTGAGGTAGGCGGGGCTGAGAGAGCTCTTGACAGAAACTGCTCTTTTTCAGGGACAGCTCTGACAGAACTATGGCTTGCCCAAGGTCATCCAGCAGCTGCAAGTGGAGGAGTGGGGAATCAAACCCCGTTCTCCCATATTAGAGTCCGTGCCAAACTGTCGAAGGCTTCCACGGCCAGAGTTCATCAGCTGTTGTAGATTTTCCGGGCTGTCTGGCCGTGGTCTTGGCATTGTAGGACCTGACGTTTTCCTGTGACTGGCATCCTCAGAGGTATTACACAGAAAGATGGCATCCTCTCTGTGTCAGGTACTCTCTGTGTCAAGGTGCCTACCGTTTTTCTTCTCGCCTTGACACAGAGAGCACTCCGTCTTTCTGTGTTATACCTCTGAGGATGCCCGTCACAGCTGCTGGCGAAACGTCAGGTCCGACAATGCCAAGACCACGGCCACACAACCCGGTAGATCTACAACAGCTGATGAACTCTGGCCGTGAAAACCTTCGACAACGTATTGAAACCTTACTGTTTGTTTATGTCTTTTATAGTCCGTCCTTCTTGCTGAGACTCAAGGTGACAACTGTAAAAACTTCATGCAGATTTTTTTATTTATTGTACAGAGAGTTCTACATTCCCTCCTCCTCCCTCCCCCCCCCCGGTGCCTTTTCTGTGGCTCAAAAGCACACCGTGTGCTCCGTTCGGTCTTCGCCGGTATTGTCACGGATCTTCGAGAATGAGGAAGTGTTGGCAGCGGAGCACAGGGGTGAACGGGCTCAGCCCGAATGGCTGTCGTTGCGGCTGGCTGGTTCTCCGGATCGGCCGGTCTCACGGATGTGCAGCAGGCCCTGGGTCGGAACAGAGAGCCCACACTTTTGAAGCAAAAGGAAGGCAGAGGCAAGAGAGATTTGGGGGGTGGGAGGGGAGGCGAGGAAATCTGGTAAAAGCTGATGAGCTAACAGCTGTGGGGAAGGCTGGAGGAGAAAATAGGTTCAGAAGCCTTGGACTTAGCCGCACCTCCTCAAACCAGGGAGAGTGTGCATGCACAGTGCCAGGAGTCAAGATGGCAGACTTTGCACCTCATGAGGGCAAGGAAGTCGCCAACTGGGACTCATCACGAGCCATAGGGGGGCAAGAAATTCTGCACCAGTCACATTAGCCGTGAACGGAGATGATGGAAGAGTGTGGCTCCGCACATCCTGGATTTAGTTTGCCAAATGAGCAGGGCGCCTGCAACCGATCTCCCTTTTGGGCGGAGAGAGGGGTGGAACCTATCAAGAAGCGGGGAGTCTGTTACCTGTGAGACGGTCACTGCTGGTCTGCTCATGTGCTTCAAGGTGGACAGGGTTGGCGCTCGCTCTTGGTACTTTCCTGAAGGAAACAGTGGACATCATGTCACAGAAGAACCCTGAATACCGGCAGGTCCTACACAGTGGAATGCTGGCAGTTCACCACCAAGCATAGATTGTCTTAAAGGGGATTTAAATTAGTGAAGGACAGGTTCATCAATGGGTCCTAGCCAAAATGACATTCAGAGGCAGTCAGCCTTGGAATCCCAGAGCCAGGAGACAACATCAGGGGAAGGCCTTGGCCACTGTGTGAGACAGGAGGCTGGACTAGAAGGACCACTGGTCTGATCCAACAGGGCTCTTCTGGTGTTCTTATCACGGGAAGGCCTCGGCCTCTGTGCCATGCTGTTGGCCCTCCAGAGGAACTGGCTGGTCATTCTGCGAGGCAGGATGCTGGACTAGATGGACCCTCACTGGTCTGATCCAGCAGGGCTCTTCTGATGTTCTTATGAAGGCCTCGGCCTCTCTGCTCTGTTGTTGGTCCTCCAGAGGATCTGGTTGGCTGCTGTGTGAGAGAGGATGCTGGACTAGATGGACCCTCACTGGTCTGACCCAGCAGGGCTCTTACGTTCTTGGAAAGTAGATGTAGGTAACTTTTTCTCCCTCTCCCAAAACACTAGAACTTGAGGGCATCTGGGGAAGATGATGGGCAGTAGGTTCAGGACAGACAAAAGGAAATACTTCTTTACGTAGCAAGTTATTAAACTGTGGAATTCGCTGCCAGAGGATGTGGTGATGGCCAGCTTTATATGGGGATTAGACAGATTCATAGAAGAAAAAGAAGATATTGGATTTATACCCCACACTTCACTCGGATTCTCAGAGCGGCTTACAAACTCCTTTCCTTTCCCCTCCCCACAACAGACACCCTGTGAGGTAGGTGGGGCTGAGAGAGCTCTTGACAGAAACTGCTCTTTTTTCAAGAACAGTTCTTATCAGAACCACGGCTTGCCCAAGGTCATCCAGCAGCTGCAAGTGGAGGAGTGGGGAATCAAACCCAGTTCTCCCAGATTAGAGTCCGCGCACTTAACCACGACACCAAACTGGAGGGAGAGGGCTATCAGTGGCCACTAGCCACAGTTACTTAAGGGAACCTCCATGTTCAGAGGCAGTCAACCGCTGAATCCCAGAGTCAGGAGGCTACCGCAGGGGAAGGCCTCGGCCTCTATGCCATGTTGGCCCTCCAGAGGAACTGCTTGGCAGAGTAATCCGCATCAGGCCCTCACCCAGTCTGGTAGTGGGTATATAAGCCCAACACTTCTCATTCGGGAAAGCAGCTTCCAGCCAAAGAGACACATGATAGCTATGTTGACTTACCATTCAGCACGTTGATGGTTTTCCTAACTACGGCTTCACTCCACTGTCTGTAACGATCCACCTGGGAAGGAAGAGGAGAGAGTTTAGAACCACCGCAGAGGAGAGACCGGAACAGTTCCCCTTTCGGGGCAATACGTACATATTGTACTGAATCAGACCCTTGATCCATCAAGGTTGGTGCTGTCTACTCAGACTCAGAACGGATAAGAGGAAGTCCTTCTTCACCCGAAGAGTGATGAACACATGGAATTCACTGCCACAGGAGGTGGTGGCAGCTACAGGCATGGACGGCTTCAAAAGGGAATTAGATAAGCATATGGAGCAGAGGTCCATCAGTGGCTATGAGCCACAAGGTATAGATAGGGATTCTGGGGCAAGTGATGCTCTGTCTTCTTGGTGCTTGGGGGGGGTCAACAGTGGGAGGGCTTCTAATGTCCTGGCCCCACTGGTGGACCTCCTGATGGCACTGGTATTTCTGGCCACTGTGTGATACAGAGGGTTGGACTGGATGGGCCTTTGGCCTGATCCAACATTGGCGTCTCTTATCTTCTTATGTTCTTATGACTGGAAGCGGTTCTCCAGGGTCTCAGGTGGAGGTCTTCCACATCACCTATTGCCTAGTCCTTTTAAATGGAGATGTGCACTGCACACGAAAGCTTATGTACCTAGAATAAAACTTTGTTGGCCTTAAAGGTGCCCCTGGACTCAAAACTCGTAGCACCTTGGAGACTACAAGATTTTGGAGGTATACGCTTTCAAAAGTCAAAGTTCCCATTTATTTGTTTGTTAAATTAGATTTCTTAATGGCCCATCCCCACGAGCACGGGGCTCAGGGCAATTTACAACAATTGATTCAGTACACTATAAAATCAATTAAAACCATAAAAAAACCCAGTATTAAAAACTTTCAGTAACGTTTAAAGATTGAAAACAGTTTAAAACAAGATGGCAGTGCTAGCTTTTGGGGGGGGGTGCCAGGCATATGTATTAATTGTATTAATCTTGGCATACGTGCCTCATCTGTTATCTGCCCTGAGCCCGTTTGGGGAGGGCGGGTTATAAATCTAAAAATAAATAAATTTTAAAAAATAAAAATGTAAGGGACCGTCGCTGACCTCAACCAAAGGCCTGGTGGAACATCTCTGCCTTACATGCCCTGCGAAACTTTAATAAGTTGGGCAGGGCACGAACGAAGCGGAAAAAATAAAAGAAGAGATGGATTTGGTCTATCGGGCCTACTCCAACTATACAAGAAAAAATAAGTTGCCAGCAGAAGTGGTGGTGAAATTCTTAAGACAGCGTCTCAGGGACCAGGTTTTAAAGGCTACATCAGCTTCACCCCTGAAAATTGGTGACCAACAGATCAAGATTTTGAAAGATGTTCCATTTGAAATTAGAATGAAAAGAAAGGAATATGAAGGATTGACCACTTTCTTACAAAAACATCAAACGAACTATAAGTGGTTGGTGCCCGAAGGACTGGTTTTCAAGTTCAAGGATAAAAGAGAAAAAATAGACTCCATCTTCAAAGCTCAAGACTTTTTGGAAAAGCATGCCAGTAAAGAAGAAGGTGCAGAACTGGCCAAACGGATGTCGACGTTAAGCGTAGAAGACAGCAGCTCGGAGGGAGAGGTGAAAGACGAGGAAGAAGGAGGAGCGACGGGTTCAAAATACAACCTGAGAGGGAAAAATGGGAAGAATCCCAAAGTTTAAAAATTGTTTTATCTTTCTCGCCTTTCAATGGACATTACTTTGGAAGAGAAAACTGATACCAGAAGGACATTACTAATATACTAATTGCCTTGTTTAAAAATACTAGAAGAAAAGAA